GTTGGCATAAACACAAGTCTACTGCCATTATAGTATTTTATCATTATAGTATTTTATTATTATTATTGTTGTTGTTATTATTATTAAGATATCAAAACTATCCTTCAATTTTATATAAATTTTATATAAAGAAGAATTAAGTCATCAGCAAATTGTGGATTTGCCAATAACATCACAATTTTTTTAATTTTCGCATTACATTAACGGAAATTAAATTTTATTTTAGAGAAATATTTTTAATATTAATTTAATGTATTTGAAAATTTTAATTTATTTGCATATGAGATGAGCAAGAAAATAAAATGTTGTTAATTTACAATAAAAAATTTAATTTTATATATCCTGTGTATGTGTGTGAGAAGATATAATACATATGTTAATATTTATTGTTGTTGTTGTTATTATTATTATTAAAATTCAATTTAATTATATATATATATATAATAATGCAATATAAATTTTTTAATTGAAAAAACATCAAAATAAATTTATTATATTTTTTTCAATATCAACCCATCAAAACTATTAAAAATAAATAAATCAAATTGATATTTTTTCAAATGAAAATCAATTTAAAAAACAAAAATTACCATAATATCAAATAAAAATCATAAAACTTACAATTCTATATTTTTTATCATATGTTTAGGAATATGATAAAAGTTGTTTTTAATTTTTTTTTTAAGAACATCCAAATAATACTTTTATTTTTAAAATTAATTTTTAATAGTAATATGTTAAAATAATTAAAAAATAAAAAAAAAATAATTTAAAACTAAAAAAAAAAATCTTTTTCAAAATACAGCTCATCTACAATTTCAAAAATATTTTTTTCACCTAGTGTTCTTGTTCCAACAACCACACTCATTCAAAGAAAAAAAAACAAGAGATCTAGAGAAGTCAAGAACCACCATTTCCAAACCAACCATTACCATCCCATTTTAATGGAGGAAAAAAAGACCCTCAAGAGTCAAATCCTTCATCATCACCAAATCCCACATTATAATAACCGATTGCTGCACTTGCATTGGTGGTGGGTGGGTGAACATGAACATCTGGATTTACCATTGCCGGCTAAATCCAAAAGCTCCCTTAGTGGCGCGTTGACATCACCAACATCTACATCCCCTGCAGCACGCTCGCATTTAAGTTTGATTACAAGATTTGGACGGTTCTCTGTAAGTGGGATCTGGGGGCAAAATTGAAGCTGGAGATGGAAAAGAGAAGAAGAAAGAGATACAAAATACTGAAAAAGATACGACGGGAAGTGACGGGGAGAGTGACATAGCTGGTGGAGGCAGAGAAAACAAGATTTAAAATCAAATAAGTTGATGTGTTCATTTTTTTCGATTCATTCGGTTTTTCAGCTGTAAATCAAAACCAAACTAAACCCAGAAATGCTCTAGAATTCTTCAAAAGTTGATGATAACTGTGGTTTGGTTTTTACTTATAAATTGAAACCAAACTAATCTGAGCATTATTTTAGAATTTTTCAGCCTGATTGTCTGTAAAATCATTCAATTCGGTTAAAATTGGCAGCAGTCATCATCACTCCATTTGGCTTGAATGTGATCGATGCCGGAAATCAAGCACCCGTCGCCAAATATGGCACACCTAAAAGGACAGCACCTCGTGCCCAATTGTTGCATGCATTTAAAGTTCCAATTAATTCTATTTTTATATCCCGGATTTAAAATTAAAAAAAAATGATTTATCAAAAACATTAATATCAAATAATAAAATAATGATTCTTGAAGAAAAATGTAGGATTTTTTTATATGATTTTATTTATTTGTATAGCACAATTAATTTAAAAGGCCAGTTAAAATTTTATACAACGTTTATATAAATAGCACAATTAAATCTTTTTAATTGCCAAAAATATTGAGAAAAATGCTTATTATATGATTTCCTCCACAAAAGATCCAACAACATGAGCCCTCCCATAATCCTAAATTATATTTCATTATTTCTTGTGCTTAGATAAACGATGTAATTGTTTAGGCTAATTCATGTACAAACACCACTTTACTATATCTATAATATCTATAAGCTCTTGTATTAACACCATTATTAAAATTTTTATTTAGCCTCTAAACTATTAGATATTATAATCACCAGCCTTTTTATTATAAGCTATTTTTTTTTATAATGTGGGATGTTTGGACCAGCTTACATGTATTATAATCAATTTTCAGATTTACTGAATATCTTATAAGTTCAATAAATAAGTAAAATATATGAAAATAACATAAAAAAATCAAATTCAGATTAAAAAGAAAAAAAAATCTCTGCCATGTTATACAACAACCTCAAGTGAATATGTTATTTTTTTTTGTTTGATTTACGTGGGGTGTCTGGACCAGCTAACACGCACCACGACTAATCCCCACAGCTCACTGAACAGCCTGCAAGCTAGTGAGCAGGTAAGGCACCGCGAGGGTGACAGACATGCATAATAAGACTCGAACTCAGGTGCGAAGAAAGAGGACAAGCTCCTCCCAACACTAGGTTAGAACTTTACTTGCAATATACTATTTTTTTAACATGCATGCAAGGAGCACACATTTCCACATAAAAATGCCCCCCCGCTCCCCTCCCCCCACCAAAAAAAAACTCCAAACTCTGCCAAGAAAATCAACTTTTAGGTGGTCTTTCTAGCAAAACATATGATTTTTATATGATATCTAGCAGTTAAAATAAATAAAATTGAACAGATAAGAAGTGTTAAATTTAAAATTAATCGATCAAGTTTTTCTATAGTGTCCAAATTAAAGAAGCCGACAATAACAGCACCAAAGCAAAACGCTTAATTTATTCAGTAGAGACTAGTAGCCATTGGCCATGAGTCCTGAAATGGCAAGCAACGTAGAAGAAGAACACCAAGCTCTCCATGCCATGCTCCATCGCAGCTTGCCCTTTGTGTGTTGATTCCCATTTTTGTTTTGGGTATGGTTTGCATATATGACAAAGAACCTACATGTTCCATCAATGGCTCCACCGTATCCACCTTTCCTGTGCATACACTTCACAGAATTTAATACAGCCCGATGCATTACATCATCCAGAGTATAGTTGGGTAGTATTAACTTCTTAAAATATTTTTTTAATTTTTACAAAATTATTTTTAACATATTTTTAAAGTTTTAATTTTTAAAAAATTATTTTTAACATTAATATATCAAAATAATATGAAAACACATAAAAAATATTTAAAAATTTAATTTAATTTTAAAAAATATATTTAAAATACAAAAATAAACGAGATATTAATATCCCATTAAATACCTAAACCGGTGATCTACTTCAGGGAGAACGAGCAGTAGCGTGCTCAAGTTCAAATTGATGCTGCCATGACTGGTTTTTAATGGATTATAGCATAATAATAGATTAATTAGGAGTCTTTCCTAAAATCCTGCATCTAATCTTCCTAGTTAAGGTTTAAACATGCAATCTTCAAAATTCAAAATTCAAAAGTCAAATGCAAACTTGGGCTATGATCTTCATCCTAAGGAACTCCTCTTGATAACGTTTTATTTGGGTTTTGGTTAACCACCTTATTTCTATAATGAGAGTGGTTGGAAAGTTCTACACTTCCTTTAGTCTCGCCCAAAAGTATAAATTATTGGAAAATAATTGCATTTGTAATCCGCATGATGATATTAACCGGTGACTGCCTGACTTAGATTTTCAAATTCAAGTACTCATGCTATACTATAAAACACGGCCGTTTCATAGCCTGACCCCGAGATTTGATGGGTGATCTAAGCATGGTAATACAAGACTGATAGGATAATTCGAGAGGATTTGGGTAATTTTTTTTATTTAATTTATTAAAAATTAAATTTTAATGTTTTATTTTATTTTTTATGAAATTATCATGATTTTATATAATTTTTATTTTATTATCAAATAATAAAAATGTTATCTTTTTGTAATATCAATAAGTTTCTATTTTTTAAGTTAATCACATTATATACATATATATATATACATATATATATATATTATAAAATAATTCAAGTTAATGACTCTAATCTCATATTTTACTTGCTTATTAAATAAAAACGCCACTGTCATTTCATCATCCTTAGAAAATCTTTGCTCAGGCCAATCTAGTTGGATGTAAGACCTTATAAACATGAGATTTTACGTTTGATCAGCACTAAACGACCTCTCGTAATTCTAACATGAATTATGCAAATATTAAAGAGCAACATCCATCTTATCTTTTTAAAAAAAAAAAATAAAAGAAGAAAAAAGCTAGCGACTTTTTGAGAAAATTAAAAGCTATATAGCAACATTAATTAAACCAGGCAGTATGATCCATAAATGCAACACCTCACGCTGGCCTAAGCTCTAGAGTGTCAAAAAGGTCAACCCAAGATTTATCAAAGCAGAAGCCCACCATTGAATCAAACCAACCCGTACCCTCTCCACATGGCCGAAGAGAAGAAGCAAACTTCTTCGATGGATAATTAGGAGAACGAGCAAAAAAAAAAAAAAAAACCTAAGAACCTAACCTAAGCAAACTTCTTCGATGGATAATTAGGAGAAAGAGCAAAAAAAAAAAAAAAAAACTTAGCACCTAATCTGGAGAATAAATGGGAGGTTGCTCCCAAATTAAGGCTGCCTAAGCCAAGTATCACATTTCTATTTACAGCATAATTTCTTGATTCATTAGGGCAACAAAACAAAGGAGAAAAAAGTCGTCACAAAATCTCTCCCACATAACACACACAAAGCACTCGTAAGCAAAGACAAGAGGGTAAGAGGCTGCACCCAAAGCCGCTTGTAGACGGCCACAAGAAAACATCGTCTCCAGCTGCCGGCTTCCCTCTCTATTTTGCCATCCCATTAAAGAACCCCCACCTCCCCTCCACATCTACCCTCTCATTTCTTCTAAAATCTTCCCTTCTCATTGGATGACCTAGCTAGTCATTATCCTCTCTCTCAGCATCTACCTCTCTGCACTATCTTTTTCCTTGCTTGTGTCTGTGGATGACCTAGCTAGTCATTATCCCCTCTCTCAGCATCTACCTCTCTGCACTATCTTTTTCCTTGCTTGTGTCTGTGTTTGTGCGCTTCTCTTGGCGAAGTTAAATGGGAAAAACATCAAAGCAAAGCCTGAAGGACACTGCAAACACTAGCACAAATCCTACAAACAAGGTGAAGCGGACACGAAAAACTGTTCCACGAGACTCTCCTCCTCAACGTAGCTCCATCTACAGAGGCGTTACGAGGTTATATAATCACATTCTTTGATCCATCTTCTTTTTACTCGGGGATTTCTTATTCTCTGGATTCATTTCTGTACATGTATTGTTCAGGCATCGATGGACCGGACGTTATGAGGCTCATTTGTGGGATAAGAACAGCTGGAATGAATCACAGAACAAGAAAGGCAGACAAGGTTCTTCCTCTTCATCTTGTCAGTCCCATTTCATCTTTCTCTCCAAACCTTTCACTGTCTTTTCTGACTTCACATTTCATATTGTTGGTACTGTTCTTCGCTTTGACTTCAATGGTGTGATGCTGGTGGAATTCAACTGTATACAGTGTATCTAGGTGCGTATACAGAATCCTCTTTGCTGTACTGTAATATATATCAGATATTTTTCTTATCCTGCAATTTTCCTAACCATTACATCTAAATAAAAGTGGAAAATCATATTTTTCATTTGATATAATTGGATTTTCTCATTAGGGGCCTATGATGACGAAGAAGCTGCTGCACATGCCTATGACTTGGCAGCATTAAAGTACTGGGGACAGGATACCATCCTCAATTTCCCTGTACATTTTCACGACTCAAAGTTATTTTGTTCTTGAAATTTTTTTATTTCATTGTCTTTTAGTTTTTACCTTTCTGTTACTTTTTTTTTTAAAACTTTGTTTTGCTTGTAATATCTAATTAAAGACACAAATTAATTTCAGTGGTCAACTTACAAAGAAGAGCTCAAAGAGATGGAGAGTCAGTCAAAAGAAGAATATATTGGATCGTTGAGGAGGTAAATACTAAACGAATTTTCTCATTTAAAATAAAAAATAAAAGATTGTTTTTTGGATATTTATTTACAACCACATTGCTTATCTTATAGATTCTTTTTAATTATTAATTCCGTGTTCATGTTTTATAATTGATGGAATTTACAGAAAAAGTAGTGGATTTTCACGCGGGGTGTCCAAATATAGAGGCGTGGCCAGGTAATTTACATACAGAAATTTGTGTGCTCTTTCTTATTTATATCTTAAGAAGTATACATTTGTTTTTTTTTATAGAAAAAAATATAATTTATAAGTGTTGCTTGGTATGATAAAATTTAAAAATATAATTTATATTATTCTCTAATAAATATTAACTAGCTACTCTACTACGAATTTATAACAACAAAATTTAATTTGTTAGATAAATATTTATGATTTTTTGAAGGTTAAAATATGAGAGTTGTCTCTATTTTTCTTTTTCTTTTTTCTTTTCTTTATTGGCCTCCTTTACCTCTATATATACGTTGGAGCTTGCATAAAATCAATCTCACATCTTCTATAGCAATAAGTTAATGCTTGATATTCTCAACTAATTAGATAAGATCCTTACCAAACGAAAAAGAAAAAAAGAAAAAAAAGAAACGTAATTTTTCAAGAATTGAAATTGATGAACATACCGTATTTATAGTTGACGGGCATACAATTTCACTACCCCAGGAGTTTTTTTTAGTTAGGTAAATAATTTAATATATTAGCCTATTGTCATGGTAAAAAAAAGAAAATCGAATTGGTTGGTGTTTAAAGAGTTAAAATATGAAAATATTCTTGTACTTTACCGTTTTGATTCACTGTATCGATCCCTTGACTATACGTTATTTTGATTTATTATTTTTAATTAGGACTTGTTTATGTTGGACACGTGGTGTTTATTCATATCGCCACATTGCAAATTTTGAATTTGATTTTTTTATATATTATTTTACTATCAAATAAAAAAAATACCTTTTTATTTTATTGTAAAAAAAACGACAAGTCCTAAATTTGAATTTTATTTTATTTCCTAAATGAAAGCTCTAAATCTTAATCAGAATTTTTAATTTAATTTAATTTATTTTTTTATTTTTTATTTTACTGTCAAATGAAAAAAACATATAATTCCTCAAATTTAGATTTTAACATGACAATCTAAATAATGAATATTGTCACATGACCCAAGTGAGGAAAGAAACTCGTTTTTATTTTTTATACATGAGTTTAATTTTTTTATGTGAATGCCTATCATCTTAATTATATTTTATTTGTTTATTAGGTTTGTCTATTAGGCTTATAAAGTATTCAATAAGTTTAAAATTAGTTATAATGTATATAAACAAATTTAAACACCCCGGATTATCAAAAAAAATTATCACATGCCCAACTTTAATTATGATGGTGTGCTAGTCTTAAAAAACAAAAAAAAAACTATAAGAAGGGACATAATGGATCAATCAAAATAATATATAGTAAAAGAATATAATAAATCAAAACGACATGTATGAATATTTTCATGCTTTAATTAAATCAATGTTTAAATCCATGCTTTCGTGTACGGATGGTGACATATTTCATATTCAAAATCCTAAATCGGTATGCAGACACCATCATAATGGAAGATGGGAAGCTCGAATTGGCAGAGTTTTCGGCAACAAATACCTCTACCTCGGAACATACGGTATTTATTTCTTTATTTCTTTTCAACTATTTAATCCTAAAGGAAATTAATGTTTAAGAATATATACATATGGCACGAGCCTTCTTTAATTTCTCCACTTAATTTTATATATCCTTAATACCCAACTAGAAGACATAATTAAGGTTGCTATTACTGAATAAGTATGCAAAGAATTAAATTCACGATCCTTGCAAAATCTAAAACTCTCACCATAGTATTAAAAACAAAAAGAAAACCTCTAATTAATTTATCATGAAAGTGGAAAGTCAAGGGCTAGATTAAAAACTCAATGCCGACATATCCTTTTCACTTAAACATCAAACAAGTTTTATTCAGACAATTGACTTTAGTGCATGTCTTCATGCCCAAATCCACTTAGATTATTCTTTATGAGTCATGATACTATTGCACCAACGTCACTTCACCATCATAGTTTACACAATAACTCCAAGTAAATAAGGTTACCCCATGGTGTAATTATACCGTGCAAACAAATATCTCTCAGCATTTTTTGATAAGATATTTGACTGATTTGTAATTCTAGTCAGTAATTTACACGTCAATAGGAATACAGTTTAAATATCTATAGAATATTCCTTCCTGTTAGTAATAGTTGGTGATGAATATAATTAATGAATTTGATTTTAAATTAAATAGAGGGGTGGGGATCGGATTGTGCTTTCAAATCTTGTTGGGTGGGAGATAGATGAACCAAAGCTCACCTACCCAGGCCAGCAACTTAAATTTCAAAGCCTCCCCACCAAAATATGCATGCATATTTATATTGTCCTGCAGATCATACACATTCTTTTTGATGACCATGCTACCTCAAAAGTTATTCATGGGCGTTCTCTTTTCAGCCACTCAAGAAGAAGCAGCAACAGCATATGATATGGCAGCTATAGAGTACCGTGGAATTAATGCTGTTACAAACTTTGACCTAAGCCGTTACATCAAATGGCTACGTCCCAGTAGCCAAAATAATGTTAACAATCATCAACAAAACCCTAATGGTGATGCTAATCCGATTCAAAACCTCGACCAAAAGATTGAATTGGATTTCATGCCCCACCAACAGAGTTCGAGTGTTAATGAGATGGAAGAGTTGACTGATCCAGCTCGGTCTGGTGGCACAGGCGGCTCGGCATCATCAGCATTAGGGCTCTTGTTGCAATCCTCCAAGTTCAAGGAAATATTGGAAAGAACATCGGCTTCCGATTGCCCCTTGACGCCGCCCCCCTTGACGCCACCAGAATCGGAACGTGATCCGCCACGCCGGAGCTTCCCGGATGACATCCAAACTTTCTTCGATTGCCAAGACTCTAGTGGTTACCCTGATGGCGATGATATTAATATTTTCGGAGAGCTAAATCCATTTGCTTCGCCGATTTTCCACTACGAATTGGATGGACAGGAAATGGTATTTGGCGCAAATAAGTCTAATATCCTTACAATATAAATATTTTTGGTTTTGTGAATATGGAGTCAAGGATGATGACAAGAGGGAATTAAAGATCGATGATGATGATGATGATGATCATGAAAAAGGGTAAGATTAAATATTACAATTCATATTTTTTTTTAGGCACAATGCCTCTCTTCTTGGATTAAAATTTGGAAAGACGAGAGTTTGCTAATCTTTATTGTTTCATTTCCACGTAGATAAAGACAAAGTTAGACATTCATTTATCAATATTTCGATTAATTATAAGACATTTTGGCATGTGATGGCCTCTTTTTTTTTTTTTTGTTAATTCAAAATACATTTACTTCTGATTAAATGGTTCACTTTTGCTGAAAAAATAATTTGTAAATAGTAGATTTGGTATATTTCGCATGAAAATTATTAATAATAAGGTGAGTTCATGCTGAAAAGGACATTATATATAAAAATTATATGTCATGGCCTTCTCCATAAGCTGTGACACACAGATGCATGCTCAATTGCTTATATAAAGAATTGTGGAGCAATAATGTTCTGGTGATAAAGAAGTATATATAAATTAAGATTGAGTGTGCTTTTGGTACTGTGGAAGGTACTTTTTAAAAATAATTTTAAATTAAAAATATATTCAAATAATATATATAAACATCTAAATAATTAGAAAAAAACTAAAAGAAAATATTAATTTAATGTTTTTTTAAACTAAACATATTTTTGATACAGTGCCGGGAGACGTACTCTAGAAATTGGACTGCCTTGAATCGGAAGTTTGAATAAACCTTTCTGGTGGTCTGAATAAGTTTTATGATTCTTTAATTGAATTGAGAGGGCTCTTTAACTAGAGATTAGGAAGTAGGAAGTTGCTAGGAAGATCCATGAAAATGACATTTTCATAAATCAAAACTGTGGAAACTGGTGCTCCAAATATTAGAATAATGGACCACATAATGCATGCTACGCCCCCACATTGTTCGTTAGAGGTTAGTGGTGGAACTTTAATGGCCATCGTCTTCCCAACCTTTTCATGCCCTTAAATGGTGCAGGAAGGAGGGGTACATGGTATCGGTTCAATTAATTGAATTGATTTTTTTTGAAAAAAACACCTTGAATGGAACTTACTCGGATGGTCAAACAAAACTTATCGGTTTAAATCTATATTTGTAAGTTTTATTTGAATTTTTTTTATAGGTTTTGATCTAATGAATCTTTTGGAGATTTTTTTTGGGTTTCTCGAATATAAACTAAAATTGAATTGAACCAAACTAAATTAATAAATATTTTGAATAATCTGATTAATTTATTCACCCTCTATGATCATACATGGTCACTGGAGGAGAACTGTTATCACCATAGCATTAAATTAAAGCCGGTCCGGCTCTGCCCTGGATTCGGCAAGAGATATCAGGAAGATTTTAAGAGGAGTTTTGACTTTGGGTTTGATCAGGTTCGTCCTTGTCCTAGTTAAATCAATTCCTGCTTAGGTATTAGGCACCGAAAGCAATCCTTGGGTCGGAAAAAAGGATCAGATTAACCCTACTCTATCCAGAAATTGGACGTCATGAAATGGGAGTTGTTTGGCTAGATAGTTGACCTGTCTTACAACGATTGGCTACGCAAGAAGTAGCTGGGTTGTGGGTGAAAATGATGCTGGACACTACTTCAACTTTTGTTTTTTACGTGTTTTTGGCTTGAAAAAAATATAAATTATTTTTTTAGTATTTTTTTTTGATAATTTGAACATACTAATATAAAAAATATATATATAAAAAACTCATTCTAATGTATTTTTAAATAAAAAACTATTTCAAAAAATTATTCCTATAGTTCCCTTAACTATATACAGCAACTTCCCCCCATCTTTTTACATAAAAAAAGGCTGCTCTAATTCTTGTTTTAAGACTCTTTTCCAATTTCTAATTGCATGCTCAGTAATTGAATTTACAAATCTTGAAATATTTATCATGAGGGCCTTCTAGCATGGTAGTTTTGACTCGATTCAAAGCTAATTAAGTGGATAAAAAAAAAACATGAAATGAAGTCATTTCGGGTAAAAAAATTTGAGATTTTTTTAGAGTTTAATCAACCAGGTTCCCTGACCAGACTAACCGAGTTGCATATTGATTCACTATATCACTCAAGTTTTGCTTATGCCAGACTCCCGAGCCAGCAAGTTACTGAGTCGTGTTTGATTACTGCGCTTTTTACATGAAGCGGAGATCTTGAGAATTCTTGGAGTTAGAGAAGGATAGAGGCACCCATCATCAACCTCTGGGACTCTGCTGAGGACTCTGCTCCGGCAATATTGCACTAATCTAGCCAAGGTTGAATGAAGCTGCTCTGCAGTAGCTGACCTAAGTTCTTTCAGAATTGGTTTTCTTTTACAGTGCAAAACTAAGGCTTTAGATGACACCCCGGCCCACAAAACTAAGGATCAACTACAGCTTTCGATGTCAAATGGTTTTTACTAGCAGAAAACAGCTTTGGTCACTGAGAGTTTATTTCATCAATATTCTATGTTTTCTAGAAATACTACTGCACCTTGTTTACATTAATGCATGGAGCTCATGAACACAACTTAATAGTTAGACATCAAAACTTAAATGGAATTTACATTGAAATCTAAAAGGCTCAGATATCAACAAGTTAATCAAATTGTTCATTAGCTAACTATCACTAAAACATCAACTCTTTTCGGTTACGCTTTTGTCGGAATCAAAAGCACATTCAAGAAGCAAAAAGTAGGAACTAAATGTTTTTGAAGTTGAACTGCAACAAGATGTTGTCAGCTTGCAGTTACATCGAGCAACAAAGTTTCGAGTCAATGGATGCCAAACATATGCAAAATGCCTGGTAACCTGTTAGAGGATATCTGCAAAAGAAAGATATTTAAGAGTGTCATTATTTTTTCAGTTTCTTCCATAGAAGATAAAAAAGACTTCTCCAAGTGTTTCGATGGATTTCGCATCACTAGAAAGAAATGGATCTGCATAGTTCGCACCTGAAATCCATAACAAACTTCGACTTCCCTACCCTTCCAAGTTGTAAAATTGTCTGCTTTCCATTTTCCTGTGAAAATCGCAGCGTCAGCTATCAGAATCCAAACACACAGGAATTGGATGGTACTTCATAACGGTTTATTCCAACATATGATTTGCAAGATGAAATTCACGATACCTCCAATGTTAGCTGGAAGTTCTTCACTGAGCTTTGGATTCTAAGCCCAGCTCTTCCTCTATCTCTGAAGTCTAACTCGTACTGCTTTGACATCTGGAGAATTCAAAAAATAAATCAAATCAATGAGAAAAAATGAAGTCCAAGTTTTCGTCTTCTATAACGCACAACAAACAATCTGTACTCTCACATTATTGTATCGTGGAGTCCTTGAGCATAGCTTATGTACTTTGTCCATTTTCCCCTCCCAGTCCCTAGCCAAACCATTAACATGTTGCATCTACGACAGAAGAAGAATGAAATGATTATCCCATTTTGCGAGGCTTCATGGAATCGAAAAATAGAGATTGAAAATGTCAACAGAATTTCAAATATACGCGTTCACATTCATATAGAGGTGAGGACTCTTTAACATTTCAGAATCTCCTGAACTCACCAGGGTTGTGTTCTTCAGCTGCATGGATTGGTGTTTTGGTACATATGCCCTCATGATTCTGTAACTTCCAGTCCAAGTGGCTATGGTAGGCTTGAATCTACAGAAACATAGGGAAATATATAACAACTGGTGGAGAGGAAACAGAACACAGAAAGTGAGTGAGAGAGAGGGTATGCCTTACGTAACAACTGCCAGAAGTAGATTGCCCCTTTTGGAGTTGACAGTACCACCCTGCAAACAAGAAGCACATTGCCAGCCATTTTAGTGAATAAATTAAGATCTTTGTTCTAAGTGATTTAGGAATATCTGATATCTTAGATACTATAGGAAAAGTGATTCAGGAAATTTGCGAGGTCTGAAGGAATCGAACCTGATCCCATATGTGATACTTGGAACCCATGAGGTTTGCTGTTACGTTTCCTACAAAGCTATCATCTGAACTAGAAAAAACTCCCTTCAAATTCTGAGCTATAGTGAACTCTGACTTTCCATTACGCCTCTTATGGTGAGCTATAGCTAGTTTCCGATCCTGTCGACCATGCCCTTCCTGTAGTTTTAATATTCAAAATCAAAGTTCCAAGCATGAAATTTTAATCATAATGTTAGATTTTAGCAGTGGCAAATAAGAACACAACCATAGTTCTTCAAAGTAGCTGTGCACTGCAGATGCTATATTTGTGTGTGAAAACAGATATTGGTACAACAGTTAAGCAGGAATACGGAAGCTATAAATCCCAA